TCCTGACTCTGACAGACACTGGCTGTGTGCCCGAAGACTGTTGACTTCTTTGAGCTTTAGTTTATTTCATCTATAAGAGGGATGGAGTAATATGTATATCCTATTCTGTTCTGGTGAGGATTAAGCGAGACAGATTTAAACACGTAGGAGGCTGTCTGACATCATGTCAAAATTATGGTCATTATTACTGGCAAACTCCATGCCTAGCTTTAAAAAAATGCACAATCAAAACAATTTTTAAATTATAGGTTTGTGAACTGCAGGGGGTAGAAATTCTTTTGAAGTGCAAATTAAGTTTTTTGTTTTGAAACTGATTACGTTCCAATTCAAATATTTATTGAGTCCTGTTAATCAATTTCAGATAATAGGTTAAATATAACCCTACACAAAGATAAAAAAAAATGTTATTCCTAAAGTGCAAGAACTCATGCCCAATTCTCTTATAAATGCAATTGCCACCTATTTTATTCCACTTTCACTAAGGCTCCCAGCTGGTGGACAGGCCTGCTCTGTCATTCCTAACTCTGAACCCTCAGCCTGCACCAGCCCCAGTATCCCCTGCTGAGTCACTGATTTTTATTCTGAAAGCCATTTTGATATCAATGCGAGCTTCCATTCTAAAAGATGCTTCATATCTAAATAGCAGGCCATTCTCTGTCCCCTTCCCTCTTCTAGCTGTTTTGCTCCCTAAATTGTATCCACCTGGGAAAGAAGGTCTTTTATCTAAGGCAGTGCTTCTGAAGCCTTAATGGGCATAAGAATCATCTAGAGAACTTATTAAAGTGCAGATTCTGAATCATTCCAGGAAAGACTGAGATTCTGCATAAAGAACTCCAAGTGGTTGCAGCGTTGCTAGTTAGCAGACCTTTTTCACGCATCTGGTTCTGGTTTAATTGGTCCCACCTGGTTGTGAATTTGGGCTCTTTCTTCTGCTAATTTGATCCACTGGGCTCTGGGACTGCAGGCTCTCCTCGTCTGCACTCCTCACAGTCAGAATGCCTTCTCTCAGCCCATCCACTCTGCTCTGGAGACTTGGCCTCAGTTGGAAACTGGCAGCCTGCCATATCTCCCTTGGGCTGCACTCAGCTGCAGTGGGCAGTAAAGGCTTGCTGGTGTTTGGGCAAGGGTCACTCAAACCTATGCTAACTGTATGCTTCCCTCCTTCACAATTTCTTTCCCAAGCCTCAGCTTCGACAAGACAGCTCAACTCTTACATCTTTTTTCTGCTCAAGAATTTTTCTGTCTAAAGCAGAGTATTAGATGAATATCTAAAGCAGCATATTAGATACGAAAAAAAGGACATTTATATGTTTTTATGAAATAGAAATAGAATGAAGCCACATATGTAATGTTACTTATTCAAGTAGCCTCATTAAAAAATAAGCAGGTGAAATTAATTTTAATATATTTTCTTTAACCCAATACATGCAAAATACAATTAGGACATGTGATCAATATTAAAAAATTAATAAACTACTTTAATTTTTTTAAACTAAATCTTCAAAATCCAATGTGTGTTTTGTATCTAAAACACCCCTTTTCTGAGTAACCACACTTCAAATGCTGAATAGCCATATGTGGCTACATGTTTGACAGCACAGTTCCATTGTGCTTAGAAGATCAGAAATCAAGCCTTTAATTTTTCTTCTATTTTTTTGTTTCTGTCATGTTTATTGAGTTATAATTTCCATCTAGTAAGTTACAAATTTTAAGCATACAATTCTGTGAATTTTCACAGTTGCAGTCAGTTGTGTAACCACCACCGTGATCATGATATGTAAAGGGCGTTTCCATCACCCTTCAAATTTCCTTATGCCCTTTGCAGTTCATCCTTTTCTCCCTCTCCTGGGCCCTGGCTTCCACGGATGTGCTTTCAAATACTATAGCTTTCTCTTTTTTAGGATTTCATATAAATAACATCATACAATAACTTAAATTTGATGTTTGGGTTCTTTCACTTTGCATGCTTTTGAGATTTATCTTGTTGTGTGTATTAATACAACAGTTTAATTGTTTGGTAATATGCCATTGTATGGATACACCACAGTTTGTTCATTTACCAGCTAGTGATGTCATGAATTCTTTTCAGTTTGGGACTATTACTACATTGCATTTATGAGGCAGCAATTCTCCTTCAAGAGAACTGGCTACACTAAGTACAGTTTTGCCTGAAATGAAATTGTGCATGTGTTTGTTGGGGAAGATGGATTGGAATTGGACTTTCAATTAAAATATAATACCAACACAATTATTTTTTAACAGTAACAGTTTCATAAGATAGCGCATTTATTTCTATACTCTAGTGCCAACATCAAGGCCAACTATAAGCTCAGCAGTAAGTTATAATCTAGTATAAAGTTAATTGATCATTTCCTGTCTTAGTTGCAATGCTAAGGTCTGGGGCACCTGGAAGATAAAGTGAGACTGGGCCTCTGCCCTCATAATGCTAATTTATCAAAGGAAATAGAGCCTTATAGTGCAGTGTGCTAAGTGAGATGATCTAGGTATGGTAGGAGATATTAACAAAGGAAATAATAGTGCAGTTCCCACAGGCGTGATTAATTTGGTTAAACAGACTCTCAGATAATAGGTAAGTACATCTGTAATACCAATTAATACTACCAGTTAGATGTACAGGGTTCATTAATTTGTTGATAATTATATTTTGCACCCTTTATGGAGATGAGGAATATAAAGGAGTAATAAGAGCTCCAGCTCTGTAGCCTGCGTATCTGCATTCAAAACCGGCCTCGCCACTTAAAGGATCTACTTTAATATCAGTTTATACAACTATGAAATGAGATTTAAGGGACGTTTGTAATGTAATGTTGTTATATGGAATTATTGAGTTATTACATACAAAATAATTAAGTTCTTGCTCAGTACCTGGTGGGCTTTCTGTAAATATTTGCTGTGAGCGTTGCTGCTACTAATCATGGCAAAGCTGAAGACCCAGGCCAGTACTTGCAGGAGCACCACAGAACACTAGAGGGCAGCACCAAGGACCTGTTTTCAGCTCACTAGATTCCCCCAGCAGGGCCGCTAGGAGGCTTATGCTTATGTCCCATGACTTTTTCTCGTCCTTATCTGAGACACTTTCTCAGGCCCTTTCTTCTAGGAGGAGTGCTGTTATTGGGAGGCATTTTGATATACTTTTAAAATCTACCAGGTCCTCAAGATGGGGGTAAATTGGTACAATTTACAGGGCCTTGTGTTTTTTACTTTTGCTGGGAAACCAGCCAAAGACAAGTTAGAGAATTCCACCTGCTCTCTACCCACTATGGCCTGTTCAGAACACCGAGGTCGCGCCTGGGACCAGGGCCAGAGCTTCAAATAGGCAGTGTTAGCTGGCTCTTCTTTGGTGGCACAAACACAACTCCAGGTAGGCAAGGAGAGCAAATGGCCCCCGATGAAAATAACTCAATGCTGGAAACAGGTTTTAAAATTTTCTGAAGAGTATTCTCAGTGTGATTTTAAATAATGGTAATGTAATTTATCAACAACTCTTTCAAGAAAAATGAATAAAGGTAGTATTTCTCAATGAAGATATAAGGCCTCAACTGCCTTACCAGCCACCTCTCCTTACATATGGGCCCCCTTAGGATCCTGCTGAAGTTTAAGACAGGCCCTGGCAAAATCCCATCATCAAATAGGATCTCTCCCATTTTCATACTTCGAAAGCACTTAGTCAGTGCCTGACTTTTATAGCCTTCACCAGTGACTGTCTTTGGTCACAGTTATGAGTTTGAGGACAAAGCTTTGAACTAGGACCCTGGAAAGGTTAGGTTATGCCAATGCTACAACTTACAAGATGCATGATTTTGTGAAGTCACTTAATGTCTCTCCTTATTGAAGAATCGAGAATACTCTTAGTTATGCAGAGTTGTCCCATGAGGTATAAAGAAAGCAGGAGAAGATGATTTCTAAATCACAAGTGGTTACAGAATCATGAGTTGTAAAAATTTTACCTCCCCAGGCTGGGTGCAGTGGCTCATGCCTGTAATCCCAGCACTTTGGGAGGCCGAGGCAGGCAGATCACTTGAGGTCAGGAGTTCGATACCAGCCTGGCCAACACGGTGAAACCCCGTCTCTACTAAAAATACAAAAATTAGCTGGGCATGGTGATGCTCGCCTGTAATCACAGCTACTCAGGAGGCTGAGGCACGAGAATCGCTTAAACCTGGGAGGCAGAGGTTGCAGTGAGCTGAGATAGTGCCACTGCACTCCAGCCTGGGTGATAGAGCAAGACTCAGTTTCAATAACAACAAAACATTACCTCCCCTTATTGTGGCCATTGCTGTTTCTTTGTTTTTTTTTCTGAGAAGGGCAGCATGTTTAGGGGGAGAGGGCTCTATGTGGGGCAGGGCTGTCAAGAAGTGGAAGTGTTTGCACAGTCTTGGAGATCAAATACCAAAGAGTGCGGCAAGGGTGATGGCAAACAGGTGAAAGAGCTCACGAGAAAGGTCACAGATAATCAGTGTGGAGGATGAGAGGGTTCTAACCTTTCATTCGTCAAAGGTTGAGGACCTATATGTCAGGCTCTGTGCTAGCTGCCAAGGATACAACCATAAACAAAAACAGTCTCTGATCTCATGGAGCTTACATTTCACTGTGAGGATTCAGACAAGTAAAGATCTATATTAGGTGGTGTAAGAAGTAAAATAGGCCAGGCGCAGTGGCTCACCTCTGTAATCCCAGCACTTTGGGAGGCCATGGTGGGCGGATCACAAGGTCAGGAGATTGAGACCATCCTGGCTAACAGTGAAACCCCGTCTCTACTAAAAAAGTACAAAAAAAATTAGCCAGGCGTGGTGGCGGGCACCTGTAGTCCCAGCTACTGGGGAGGCTGAGGCAGGAGAATGGCATGATCTCGGAAGGCAGAGCTTGCAGTGAGTCGAGATCGTGCCACTGCACTCCAGCCTGGGCTACAGAGTGAGACTCCATCTCAAAAAAAAAGAAGTAAAATAAATGAGGTAAATATGTGGAGAGTGATTGTATGGTGGCTGTGCTCTAAATAGACTAGTCGGAGCAAACCCTTCTGATAAGGGAATAGGTAGGAAGCTAGTAAGTCATGCAGATAGCAGAGTAGAGCACGAACAACAAATGCAAAAATCCTGAGGCAACAGTGTGTTTTGGGTGCTTTTAACATTGAGGATATGTTTTCGGTGAGAAAAGATCACACAGTCCAGGTGTGGTGGCTCATGCCTGTAATCCCAGCACTTTGAGAGGCCAAGGAGGAGCATCACTTAAGGTCAGGAGTTGAAGACCACCCTGGCTAACATGGTGAAACTCCGTCTCTATTAAAAATACAAAAACTAGCCAGGTGTTGTGGCACGTGCCTGTAATCCCAGCTACTTGGGAGGCTGAGGCAGGAGAACTGCTTGAACCCGGGAGGCAAAGGTTGCAGTGAGCTGAGATCGTACCACTGCATTCCAGCCTGGGTGACAGAGTGAGTCTCCATCTCAAAAAAAAAAAAAAAAAGAAAAGAAAAGATCACACAGACAGTGACTCACACAGGCCCCTCCTTTCCAGGGCCTCAGTTTGTCACTCCGTTCAGTGGGAGAAAGAAGAAATCATAACCACTGCTCTAATATGGGAAGAAATCGGTGCCTTGTGTGAGCCAGAATAAAGAACGTATTCGATATTAGAATGAGGAGCCCTTGTTACCCCAGGTGTCTGACCTCTTTATCCAGGACTGGGCAGTCAGTATTCCTTTATTCTCCCTCCTTTCTTACCCTGACCCTTTTTTTGTTTGCTCATCTACCTAGGATTCTACAAGCAGGAAACATCTTAGAAATCAGGGCTAGGCAGGCAGGAGCCAGGAGAGTAGCTACAATGACTTCACCAGTACTGGTGGACATACGAGAAGACGTGACCTGCCCTATCTGCCTGGAGCTCCTAACAGAACCCCTGAGCATAGACTGTGGCCACAGCTTCTGCCAAGCCTGCATCACACCGAATAGCAGGGAATCAATGATTGGTCAAGAAGGGGAAAGAAGCTGCCCTGTGTGCCAGACCAGCTACCAGCCAGGGAACCTGCGGCCTAATCGGCATCTGGCCAACATAGTGAGGCGGCTCAGAGAGGTGGTGTTGGGCCCTGGGAAGCAGCTGAAAGCAGTTCTTTGTGCAGACCATGGAGAAAAACTGCAGCTCTTCTGTCAGGAGCATGGGAAGGTCATTTGCTGGCTTTGTGAGCGGTCTCAGGAGCACCGTGGTCACCACACGTTCCTCGTGGAGGAGGTTGCCCAGGAGTACCAGGTGAGACCCCAGGATGGAAGGGGAGACAGAGAAACAGGGTCTTTGGTAGGTTTTAACGTTTTATCATGCTCTGATCTAATCTCTTTGTAGTCTTTCCATTTACCTAGAGAATGAACCTGGAAACTGCCTCCCTGATTAAGAATAGAGACTTTATCTCTTACTTGCTATTCCAGATTGAGTAGATAGAGCTGCTGAGGGGAAAAGGGGTACTTGGTTGATTGAGTGTGGAGATACGTTGGCAGTGAAGGTAAAGGAACTTATTTACTCACATATTTATTTTGAAAAGGCGTCTCTCTCTGTCACCCAGGCTGGAGGGCGGTGGCGCGATCTCGGCTCACTGCAACCTCTGCCTCCTGGGTTCAAGCAATTCTCATGCCTAGCCTCCCAAGTAGGTTGGACTACAGGTGTGCACCACCATGCCCAGCTAATTTCGTGTGTGTGTGTGTGTGTGTGTGTGTGTGTGTGTGTGTGTGTGTGTATAGTGGAGATGGGGTTTTGCCATGTTGCCCAGGCTGATCTCAAACTCTTGAGTTCAGGCAATCCGCCCGCCTTAGCCTGCCAAAGTGCTGGGATTACATGCATGAGCCACAGGTGCTTTGTGGTCAGGCACCTTCACAAGGAGGAATGGAGAACCAGCCTATTCTTGTCGGTTTTCATCCCATGTATATGAAATATTTGTTGGCCCTCTCAAGTTTTCATCCTAGGTTAGGACAGGCTCCTTTTGAGGTTAGCAGAATCTCTGTCCCATTCATTCCATGTCTGTGTACTGAGTCAACTGAAGGCTTGATCCTGTGTGATCTGATTTGTTTCTTCCAGGAAAAGTTTCAGGAGTCTCTAAAGAAGCTGAAGAATGAGGAGCAGGAAGCTGAGAAGCTAACAGCTTTTATCAGAGAGAAGAAGACATGCTGGAAGGCAAGGGGGACTTTTTCTGAGGATGTCCTGGGGCAGGAATCATGGCAGGTCACAGGAGCTGAGGGCAAAGGAGTCCTTGTCCTGTCTGTCCTCTGACGCCATGACTAGAAGAGCTTCCCTTTGCCTGGTCCTCCACTGTATTCCTTCCAAACAGCGGGAGGAGAGGGGAGCTAAATAGCAAACATATCAAAACTGAACCTAGGAGACAATCACATAGCAGAGGAACCATGGCTAGGGGTTCCCCCAATTCATAATTCTGGATCTTGCTCTACGGTTTCAGTCTCTTTGGCTTTTCCATTGCATTCAGAGTACAAATGCAAGGGAAGATGCAGGTAAGGCTTGCGAAGAAGCCCAGATCTGAGACAGTTAGTCACAGGCCAGTAATTTCTACCTCAGTACTCAAAATTGGAAGAGGAGGCTGATGCAGAGGTGAGGGAGGCTTCCTGGAATCTAAATGTCACCCAGGAATCACAGTTGATGTCTAGATGGCCTAGATAAAGCAGCCCGGGGCCAGTGGTCTGGGCAGAGCTGAAGGGAGAAAAGAAGGGAAGAAAAGGCTACAAAGGCTTCCTCCTGCAGCATTTACCCTCCCTCTCCTTGGGAGGCCTGGCCCAGGAAAACAGTCCTGAGCCCAACTCCCCAGCTTTTAACAGAGGAGAACCTCAGTGTGACAGAATAGCAGCCTCTTTTTCTTCCCTGTTCCTGAAGAATCAGATGGAGCCCGAGAGACACAGGATCCAGACAGAGTTTAATCAGCTGCGAAACATCCTAGACAGAGTGGAGCAGCGAGAGCTGAAAAAGCTGGAAGAGGAAGAGAAGAAGGGGCTACGAATTATAGAAGAGGCTGAGAATGATCTGGTCCACCAGAGCCAGTCACTGCGAGAGCTCATCTTGGATCTGGAGCGTCGATGTCAGGGGTCAACAATGGAGCTGCTTCAGGTAAGGCTTGTGAAGGAGCTCAGATCTGAGAGTTAAGGAAAAGAGAAACTAACTTTCCTTCCTTTCTGGAACATCAGACTACCATCATTGCAGGGACAAGAAAAAACATTCCTTTGGTGCTATAGTGCCTATCCCCTATTAAACTGTTTAGAGATACGGAGTAAAGCATAAGATAATTCAGAGTTCAAATGCAAGGGAAAACCCCATTTTATTTATAGAGGTTGTCTGAAAGTTTATTTGATGCTGTGGAGAAGATCTGTTGTATCCATTGATGTTGTTCTTTCTGTTCTTTCTTTCTCAGTCTTGGCACTATTTACATTTCTGACTGGATAATTCTTTGCTGCATGGGATCTGTTTAGCAGCGTCTCTGGCCTCTGCTCACTAGATGGCAGCAGCACTACCCCAGATGTGACAACCCCAGATTTCTTCAGACATTGCCACGATAGCCCCAGGGTGAATACAGTGCTCTCCCAATTGAGAACCGCTGTTCATTAGGCACCTCTTGTCTCTGATGCTGTGTTGGGAATTTGCCAAGTGCTTCTTACCCAGCTTAGTCACAGGCACCCTTATGCCAAGCTAAATTCTTAGAGATGATGTATTACCAGCCCTTCTTTGTTTTCACTCTCTTCTCTAGAGCAGAATGATTTAACATACTCTAGTAATAGATATTTGAACTGGTTTTGGGGGTCTGGGCTCTGGTCTATATGTGTGTAGGTCAAAGATTACAAGGTATCAAGCCTAGAAAGATTTGATGGAGGGACTTGAACTAAGGTTGAAATTTTAGCAGCTGTTTTCTGCATAGAATGAATAGTGTGGCTGTGAATTTAAGGCCTGATGTACCTTGTGATATTCTGTAACCTTTAGAGTGTAAGATATTCTTTATGTTTTGTTTGCCTTCGTGCTTTCCTCTTGTTCTTTCTTTCTTGGTGGAATAATTGTTTGTTTACATATTCTTGGGTCTTAGTATGAGAGCCATGGGTAGCTACTTTCTGCCTAGTACAGCTGTTTCTCATTCACTGCTTCCTGCTTTGCATCTTCATTTTATTCTTCTTGCCGTTTTGTCCTCGTCATTGATATTGTTACCCTGATACTTTCTCCTTCACTCTTTTGTTCTGGCTCCTCACCACTCCTCAAACTAAATATTTTTAAATGCAAGTGAATCATCAATTCATATTGCTAGTTTAGATACTTCCACATTCATTAGTATGACTGCCCAATGGACATTTAAACTTGAGTCTTTTCTAACAATAAATTTTCTAGAATTTTCCCATCACAGACATTCTTCCTTCTCTTTTCCATATCTGTGTGAATTGTTGCCCATTAAGATTTTATAGCCAAGATAAAAGCTTCAAAATATAGACATAAAGCCAACATAAGAGAATTAGCCACAAAATAGCACATCGATTTGATCATTTCAGTTCCTCAGTACAGCCACAATGTAAGATTGATACAATCCTGGATATTTACTGCAAATTGACACACACAGCACCTCTACCACGTTGTGTGTTCAAGCCAGTTTGAGTTGTGTCTCTATGAAATGCCACCATAAACAGTCCTAATACAGAGAAAATAGTTAATCTTGTGTTATATGGACCAAACTTAAGCTTTTCTTCAGGGTCATTGAGATGTATGGAGCAGAAGATAAAGAGACCAAATAGAAGGGAATAGGCCAATTCCAGGGAAATGAGACTGGCAGTGCCAGTGATAAAGGTGAACAACCCGTGGCTAAATGAAATTAAGCATGTGAGGTGGACTGACTTGGGCAAAGATAGGAGGCCAGGGTGAATGTATGGTAATTATTACCTATTTGCTTAAATTTGGTGACTAGGTGGTTGCTAGTATGATTCAGTAGGATGGAAGGGAGACAAGAGTTGCAGAAATAAGTTTTCTTTTAAACATCTTGTATTTGAGGTACCTGTGACTCATTTGCTGGTGTATATATTAATCAAAATCATAAGGAAAGTGGGCTGAGCAGAAGTACAGATTTGAGAATCATCAACATGTGTGTGTTAAAATGAAGGAAATGAATAAAGTCAGCAAAGGTAGGGTAGAGGGTTAGAGAAGGTGAAGTTTGAGAAGCAACCATATTTAAAGCCCATGAGCCTGTATCTTCAGCAACCAGAACAGAATGTAAGCTACTCAAGGATGGAGATTATGACTTCATCATCTGAGGTTCCGTAGGCCAGGCACAATGCCTGACAAATAATACATGCTATACATACATAACATTACACACGCATAAGCACACACACGATGTTGTGAAAATCGAGACACTGATGAGTCAGTTGAGTTATTTTTTGAGGTCTTCACATGGGTTCTTAGGGACAGTCTGGCCTGAGTTTTTATCTCTGCTCTGTGGCTCCATGTTAGGATGGTCTTTATGTGTGTCATGTCATGGGGTAGTGGACATGGAAGGAGAAATGTGGATAAGGGCATGACCTGTTACTCCTTGACTTAACCTGTCTTTTTCCTTCCTAGGATGTGAGTGATGTCACAGAAAGGTATGTGTAGGAGAACATGAGGTAGCTCCCCTGGATTGACAGATGATTCCTTTACCCATGAACAGTGGGAAAGGGGAGAAAAATCAGAGTGGGGAAGATTCAAGACTGTAGTCTTGAATTGAGCATCACACGAGAGTTTTGGCACCCCCAGCTAAAGGGGATGAACTGGCTTCTCTGTAGGAAAATGTGGGCGATGGGAGGTCACTAGTTGGGGACAGTACTGTTATTTAGAATAAAGAATTGCAGTATCGCGCCATTGCACTCCAGCCTGGGAGACAAAGGGAGACAGACTCCGCCTCAAAAAAAAAAAAAGAATAAAGAGTTGCAGTATCAGTGACTCCCCAAGTACCCTGTTAAGTGTACTTTTCAGTAAACCTCTGTGCCTGCTTTCATCCCTGATTCTTAAGTTTATAGTTACCTCAAAATACACAGGAATTTTCTTTGCCCGTAAATTTTTTTTTTTTTTTTTTTTTTTGAGACAGAGTCACACTCTGTTGCCCAGGCTGGAGTGCGGCGGTGTGATCTCGGCTCACTGCAATTTCCTGCCCGTGAATTTTATCAGTGACATTCCTATCTGCATTATTTCTCAAGGTCTAAGAATTTGCTCTTGGGACTTTTTCTTTCTCCCAGGCCTTGTTCCCTAGTAGATTTTCTTTTGTCTCAATTCCAGTAAAAACATAAACCCGAGCTCTTGAGGATAATAATTGAGCCCGGGAATCAAACGTGTTCTCTATCGCATACTCCAGAATCTTATCAACAAGGTGACATCTCAAGCTGCTTGCACACTTGGTACCTTCATGCTCCTCACAGACACGTAAAATATGAAGCCTGTTGTCCCTTCTGAAATCTGTACTCTCCATTTGGAGGTGAGGATATCTTTTCTCCAGCTGGCGGCATAACATTCCCAGAGACAGCAAATCTTAAAATGCTGTGTTGAAGGTTTTCTGAGAAATCCTAGGGCCTAAGCCCACAGACTCTTCTGAAGAAACCCCTTCACTTGATACTCTCCAAGCCCCAGCAGCAGGCCCCTGGTGTTCTGTCTTCAACCCAGACATCTTCAGCCCCTCTGATTTTAAATATTTTATATATTGTTTTAGAGGTAGCAAAAGATTTCCAAGCCATTATTTTACTGAATTGCATAACATCTCTAGGACATAGAAAAAGGAAAATTATAGTATTTTCTAAAAATAACAACAGAAAAACAAAATGAGACATTAAGAAGTTAAATGTTGGCCAGGTGCAGTGACTCACACCTGTAATCCCAGCACTTTGGGAGGCCGAGGAGGGCGGATCACGAGGTCAGGAGGTCGAAACTATCCTGGCTAACATGGTGAAACCCTATCTCTACTAAAAATACAAGAAAATTAGCCAGGCGTGGTGGCATGTGCCTATAGTTCCAGCTACTCGGAAGGCTGAGGCAGGAGAATTGCTTGAACCTGGGAGGTGGAGGTTGCAGTGAGCCGAGATCGCGCAACTGCACTCCAGCCTGGGCGACAGAGCAAGACTCCATCTCAAAGAAAAAGTTAAATCTTACACAAGTTTATGTAGATCGTGAGATGATAGTTTCTAGTCTAGGTCTTCTGGCTCCAGTGCCAGGGCTGTTTGCAAAATGATGCTAAGTTTCTTCAGAAAGGAGGATTGGAGTTCATCCTCCCAGCCCAAAGAGGCCATGGCTTGGGAGGTAAGGGAGACGGGTGGCAGAGGAACCCATAGTCAGCAGTGTGGGAACTCAGAAGTCGTGTCCTGTCTAGGAGTGAGTTCTGGACCCTGAGGAAGCCAGAAGCTCTCCCTACAAAGCTGAGAAGTATGTTTCGAGCCCCAGATCTGAAAAGGATGCTGCGAGTGTTTAGAGGTAAGGAGATTCAGAGGAAAGAGTTTGGATGTGAAATTACTTCGTGGGAAGAAATAAACAGGATCGAGGATATAGTTGGTATTTGAGCATAGTGGCAAAGAGGGAGGTCCCAGAGGGAGGGACATAGTGTGCTGAAGAAGATGCAGTTTGTATTTAAGGGGAGATGAAATGGCCAGGTAACATCCTCACAGGATTCCTCACCATGCCCCTCAATCTGGTAAGGAGAGAGATACCAGACATGAGACAACTGGTCCTATTCAACATTCTTGACTCTTTTTATCATTACAGAGCTGACAGATGTCCAAAGCTACTGGGGTAAGTAGAAGCCATGGCCTCTTTGGGCTGGCACATTCTGATCTCCTTTCACATGTGCTCCCCAGACATAGCCACACAGGTCCTAGGTGTTGATGCCTCCCCCATCCCCGCCATATAGTTCCAGTTCCTCCAACCACTTCCTGTGTTTCCTCTTCTCAGCATAATGAGACCCATGTCCCTATTCTCATCTGCTGATGTTGTACCTTTTCCTACAGTGGACGTGACCCTGAATCCACACACAGCTAATTTAAATCTTGTCCTGGCTAAAAACCGGAGACAGGTGAGGTTTGTGGGAGCTAAAGTATCTGGACCTTCCCGTCTGGAAAAGCATTATGACTGTAGTGTCCTGGGCTCCCAGCACTTCTCCTCCGGAAAGCATTACTGGGAGGTAGATGTGGCCAAGAAGACTGCCTGGATCCTGGGGGTATGCAGCAATTCAGTGGGACCTACATTCTCTTTCAACCAGTATGCTCAAAATCACAATGCTTACTCCAGGTATCAGCCTCAGAGAGGATACTGGGTGATTGGGTTACAGCATAACCATGAATACAGGGCCTATGAGGATTCTTCCCCTTCTCTGCTCCTCTCCATGACGGTGCCCCCTCGCCGTGTGGGGGTTTTCTTAGATTATGAGGCTGGCACCGTTTCCTTTTATAATGTCACAAACCATGGCTTCCCCATCTACACTTTCTCTAAATATTACTTTCCCACTACTCTTTGTCCATATTTTAATCCTTGCAACTGTGTAATTCCTATGACCCTGCGTCGTCCAAGCTCTTGAATAGTCTTCTGTTCCCACCCACTTCTGATAAGTACCCTGAGGCTTATCAGCATGTGATTCTCCCTTCTGATCTTCTGTTTTTCTGTGTTCTCAATTCTTTTGTCATTTTTTTGGTTTTTGGATTTGTTTGAGATGGAATCTCGCTCTGTTGCCCAGGCTGGAGTGCAGTGGCGCAATCTCAGCTCACTGCAACGTCTGCCTCCTGGGTTCAAGCGAACCTCCTGCCTCAGCATCCCAAGTAGCTGGGATTACAGGCTCCCACCACCATGCCCAACTAATTTTTGTATTTTTGTAGAGATAGGGTTTCACCGTGTTGGCCAGGCTGATCTCGAACTCCTGACCACAAGTGATCCACCCACCTCGATCTCCCAAAGTGCTGGGATTACAGATGTGAGCCACCGCACCCAGCCAATTCTTTCGTTTTAAACATTTACTCAGTACTAGGATGCACCCAGTGGTGAAAGTAGGCATCTTTGTCTGATGACAGGTCTTGACGTGGATAGGGGGTGCTTTCATTATTTTGCCATTAAGCATAGTATTTGATGCAGGTTTTTTTTTTTTTTGGTTGATGCAGGGGATCAAATTTAGGAAGTTCTGATCTGTTAATTTGCTACAAGTTTTTGTATAAAATGAAAAACTGTATTCTACCTATGTCTTTTCTATAAATTATTGAGATAATTGTGTGTAATTTTTATTCTGTTAATGTGGCTTAGTACATTGATTTACTTCAATTTGTTATATTGGCCACAAATTGCTGAAATATACTGTTATTATTTGTTGTATGCAATACTGGATTTATTTTGATAATGTATTGTTTAGATTTTGTTTTCATCTATGTTAATGAAAGAAATTGGCCTGTATTTTTACATTCTTGTAATATCTTTGCCAGGTTCTATAAAATGCAATAATAACCAAATAAATTACTGTGTTTTTGTATAAGTATGTATAGGATTGGGCTCTAAAGCCAAACCATTATAATGATAATTTGGGTAGCTTCAAACTCAAATTGAAGAGAGTCTTCACTACAATCTTCACTACAACCTTCGGCCTTCCTCTCTACATTTAAGAATAGCAATAGAACAATAAAAACTATATATATCTTTCAGATAAATTGAAGTAAAAACAAAAGGATAGTGGAGAGAGAAAAACAATCCAATACATATTTTTCTCTCAGAATAGAAAGAAAATTCAAAGAGATAATATGAATAATATAAAGCACTTACAGGAAGAGGATGATTTCTTCCAGCTTTTCCACACTCTCTTTTCCTTAGCACAGGAACAAACAGCTGGTGAGTGAGCTGCTGTGACTTTGGTAGAGAGGTGCAATATGTTTTTTGAACCAGCTATAAAAGAAATTATGAGGTACATGTGAGGGTAGAAACAAGTATCAAGGAGAAGAATGGCACTGGCTGTCCCATGTGGTATCCAGGAGCCACCAATGTCTATTGAGGACTTCACACATGACTAGTCTGAATTGAGATGTGCTCAAAGTATAAAATGCATACCAGATTTCAAATACTTCAAAAAATAATGTAAAATATCTCACTAATAACTTTTTCTTTGCGTATTGCAATGATAATATGTGGGCTCTATTGGATTAAATAAAATATGTTATTCATTGTACCTGTTCCATTTTACTTTTTTAATGTGATACTAGAAACCTTAAAATTGTATTTCTATTGGACAACTCTGGAGCAGATCCTATAATGAAATTTCTGTCCCTAAGTGAGCCCTAGTGTAAAAGCCTGTGGACTCGGGATACAGAGGAGGTTTCAAGGCACATATGTTTATCTCTACAAGAACCTGCTGCCCTGAGGCATTTTTATAGAAGGTAATGCCAGAGAAAAGAAGATCTCAACATATCTAGAAGTGTAGAAATTTGGAAGATCATAGGAAGGGCTCATGGCCAGAGAATGATTCTGCCGGCTCTGGCCCCTGCCGTTAGTCCTCAGTCTGTTGGGTGCTTGAAGCTCCTTCGTGGTTTGAGGAAATACTGATTTGTTAGCAAGGCTCAGCTTGGGTGTCTGTGGTGAGATAAAGTAGTGCGGGTAATAGTAAAAGCTCAGTACTGGTTTGTTCTAAGGCACGGTTTTATAATAATTAGGAGATCACGTCTGTGGAAGCCCAGAGACTGGATGCTCTGCATTTCAACTCATCCTGCTCTGCATTTCAACTGGAAAAGATATAAAAGGAGACAGAGCCAGCTGACTGGGGCCCATGGGGCTGGTGGAAGTTCAGGAAAGAGAAAGATCTGCTGGAGTACTTATCCCCTTCCCACTTATTTTCCCATACAGTAAGTTCTAGGCAAAAAATTAGCCCAGCTGTCTTCTACTGTAAACTCACTTTACAAGTAAATTTACTTTCCAAGTGAATTTACTTTATAAGTAAAATGTTTTTTTGTCACCAGAGTTCTAGGGATGTGGTATAGTTATCCCGATATTTCCCCCAAATGTGAGTGCTTGCTAGAGTGGGCATTTCAGTTTGATGCTAACTTAAAAAGATTTTGGAAGGGAGAGGGACTTTCTTAACATCTTTATTGTGATATTTACAAGTACTTGCTGGAATTCTATAGGTAAGACCTGGGGAAGGTTGCTCAATCTGAGACTTGGGGACAATTATTAGGGTAAGTTCAGAGCTCTGACCTTTTCCTGAAGGATTATGGGGGCTTGACAGAGGCCTTCTGTTCTTGAAATTTTTGGTGTGATAGAGTAGGCTAAACTACTTTAAAAAAAGAACCAAAATACATAATGGATCAAATACTAAAGAAATGTATTTCTTGTTAATGTAAAACAATTGGTCATGAGTATATGTAACTGGTGGTGAGTGGCACTGTTCCATGTGGGATTCGTGCGCCAAGCTTGCTTTCATCTTGTGGCACTTGCTGTACCCCAGAATAGTAGTAACAGCATCAAGCTGGCAGAAAGGTAAAGAAAAAACTTAGCGGAGAAAACTTGCTTTTTAAATCCTTAGTTCATAGATGAGATTCGTAATATCTGCTCATTTTCTGTTGATGAGAATAGCCATATGGCTAAACCTAACTGTAAAGATTTTTTAAATGTCTAGCTGTATGCAATCATCTACAATCAAATTTCAAGGGAAAGAAAACTCAGATTTTGGTGGAAACTGCCTGGAACCCTAAGTAGTCCCTTTTCCCATTATAGAGGACTCAGGATCTCAGCTTTTTTCTGGAACTATGTTAATTCCATTCTATAACCTAAAGTTTATAAAAGAAAACCGTATTGTCACTAAAGTTCTAGACATGTGTATAGTTATCCTAATATTTCCCAACAAGTGAGTGGCAGGTAAGTTTGATTCTAACTTTAAAAAAATTTTTTAGGGGAAGAGGACTGTCTTAATATTATTATTGTGATATAATTGACATATAATACATTTCATAAAGTATATAACTTGATACATTTTGACTCGTGAAACTCATCACCATCAAGGCAATAAATCAGATGACGTTCTTTTGTGTATATATAGCACTTAGAGCTATAAATTTCCTTCTATGGCATCTCACAAATTTTGATATATTCTCCATTCTATTCAAGATTCTATTTTCCCTTTTGATTTCTTCTTTGACCATTGAATTATTTAAAATTGTATTTTTTCCCTAATCTATGAGGATGTTCATATATCTTTTTGTTATTGGTTTATAATTTAATTTAAAATGGTCCAGATATAGACTTTATATGACTTGAATCCTTTTTAAATGTATTGAGACTTGTTTTACGGTGAAGGATATGATCTATATCGGTAAATGTTTCATTTGCACTTGAAAGAAATGTGTATTCTCTTGTCCTGGGGTACAGTGTTCAATAAACATCATGTTGGTAATATTATTCAAATCTTCTATATCCTTACTGATTTTCTATGAGAGAGGGGTGTTGACATTTCCAACTATATTTATGAATTTGCCTATTTCTCCTGCAATTCTATCAGATTTTGCTTTTTGATTTTTGAAGCTGTTTTGTAAGGAGCATACACATTTAGGAATGTTACATCCTGTTGATGAATTGACCCCTTTCTCATTATGGAATTACCCTCTGTCTCTACTAATATCTTTTTCTACTTTGTTAGATATTAATTTAGCCACTCTAGCTTTTTTTTTCTTTTTCTGTTTTGTTTTTTTGTTTGGTTTTTTTTTTTTTTTTCGAGACGGAGTCTTGTTCTGTCATCCAGGCTGAAGTACAGTGGTGTGATCTTGGCTCACTGCAACCTCTGCCCCCTGGATTCAAGCGATTCTCCTGCCTCAGCTTCCTGAGTAGCTGGGATTACAGGTGCCTGCCACCACATCCAGCTAATATTGTATTTTTAGTAGAGACAGGTTTTCACCATGTTGGTCAGATTGGTCTCGAACTCCTGACCTCAGGTGATCCACCCGCCTTGGCCTCCCAAAGTGCTGGAATTACAGGCATGGGCCACCGCACCCAGCCCAGCTTTCTTTTGATTATTGTTTTCGTAACATACCTTTTCATCTTTTTACTTTTAAACTATTTGTGTCTTTATATTTAAAGATTATTTAGGCCAGGTGCAGTGGCTCATACCTGTAATTCTAGCACTTTGGGAGGCTGAGGTGGGTGGATCACCTGAGGTTGGGAGTTCAAGTCCGGCCTGAAAAACATGGAGACACTCCATCTCTACTAAAAATACAAAATTAGCCGGGTGTGGTGGCACATGCTTGTAATCCCAGCTACTCGGGAGGCTGAGGCAGGAGAATCACTTGAACCTGGGAGGCAGAGGTTGCGGTGAGCCGAGATCGTGCCATTGTACTCTAGCCTGGGCAACGAGAGCGAAACGCCATCTCAAAAAAAAAAAAAAAAAAAGTATTTAAGTAGCATGTTATTGCTCTAGGTAAATGATACAGTTGTCTTCATTTTTCCCAACAAGTTACTGTCTGAATGGGCATTTTAACTTAGTTTTAATTAAAATTTAGATATTTTGCTACTTTACCTGTTGTCTAAATGATCTTGATTCCACGGGACTCTCAGTTTTTTAAACATTTGCTGTATAACTGCTTCGTGCATACAATCTAGCCCTATTCTTCACAGAGACTCAGTCAATTTTAGATAAAACAAAGGCATATTCTGTGCCAGGTTTATTTCAACCATCTTTTAGAAGATAAATTTGGGGTTCTAGGGTTCCAAGATTTGAAACATTATATTTGATTGGTGAAGGGCTAGTTCTCAGGTTCTCATTGGGTTGATGTTTGAGACCGAGGATAACCTTTTTTTTTTTTTTTTTTTTCTTGAGATGGAGTCTCCCTCTTGTTGCCCAGGCTGGAGTGCAGTGGCACGATCTCAGCTCACTGCAACCTCTGCCTCCCGGGTTCAAGTGATTTTCCTGCCTCAGCCTCCCAAGTAGCTGGGATTAAAGGTGCCTGCCACCCCTGGCTAATTTTTGTATTTTTAGTAGAAACAGGATTTCACCATGTTGGCCAGGCTGATCTCAAACTCTCAGTCTCAGGTGATCTACCTCCCTTGGTCTGCCAAAGTGCTGGGATTACAGGAATGAGCCACCACGCCTGGCTTTTTTTTTTTTTTTCTTTTAAATAAATGCAAGCTTAGGTAAAGGCTCATGTCAAACAAGGAATCAACTAAGAAATTGATTCATTTTTATCCATCTTGAAAACATACTAGTATTTGGAAGGCAAATAATTAAAATACGAAAAACAGGGAAACTGAGTCTATTTTGGAATCTTTGAAAAAGCAGAGGAGAAATGTTAGAGAATTGACGATAGAACTGCAAGTTTATGGCATTATTGCCTATCTCAGCTAAGCATTGGCCTTTATTTCAAGAGATCAAAGGAAACACTCACATTTTTGAACTGAAAGTCAACACATACATTTGAATCACATACATTTCCACCTGACCACTGAGGGTACTTGTATGAAGACAGCAACTGAGTTTTCTATATTGTTTCCTGTGTGTTAATCACATTTCTACACATTATATATATGGACTTAATTTTTTTTTTTTTTTTTTTTTTTTTTTGAGACAGAGTTTTGCACTTGTCGCCCAGGCTGGAGAGCAATGACACAATCTTGGCTCACTGCAACCTTCGCCTCCCAGGTTAAGCGATTCACCAGCCTCGGCCTCCCGAGTAGGCTGGGATTACAGGCACCCACCACCACGCCTATCTAATTTTTGTGTTTTTTAGTAGAGACAGGGTTTCGCCATGTTAGCCAGGCTGGTCTCAAACTCCTGACCTCAGGTGATCCACCCGCCTTGGCCTCCCAAAGTGCTAGAATTACAGGCTTGAGCCACTGCATACGGCCTGGACTCAATCTTTATAGTGGTCCTATGAAAATAGGTACTGTCATTATCCCTTTTTTAAAAAAAAGTGAGAAAATGGAGGTACAGTGAGATGAAAGAATTAGCTCAAAGTTGGACAAATATGAAGTGGTAGAATTAGCCTACAAAACATGGCAGCAAAATTCAGAGGCAACATGTTTATTCATTCCTCTCTGTTAGAAATCTGAAAAGGTCAGTGTGTGAGTCAAATCCTACTTTGATATCTATTTTTGTAAATGTACTTTATTGGAATATCACCATGCTCATTTATGTATCATCTGTGACTGCTTTCAGGTTACAACAGCAGTGTTGACTGGTTGCAACAGAGACTGCTTGACCTGCAAATCCTAAAATATTTACTGTTTGACCAGGCTGACCAACATGGTGAAACCCCGTCTCTACTAAAAATACAAAAATTAGCCGGGCATGGTGGCACGTGCCTGTAATTCCAGCTATTCGGGAGGCTGAGGCAGGGGAATCGCTTGAACCCAGGAGGCAAAGGTTGCAATGAGCAGAGATCATGCCACTGCACTCCAGCCTGGGCAACAAAGTGAGACTCCATCTCAAAAAATAATAATAATAATAATCAAAGTAATGTATAATGCTCAAAATGTAATCTCAGGCCTAATGAAGGAATAGACTCCTATAATTATATTACTCTTAAATGATGTAAGTAATATTAAAGTTGGGGTCTACCTTGGTCTAGACCAAGGTAATGATGAAAACTTCAAGTTGAAAGCTTATGTTGAAAAACAAAATAAAATCATTTCATATGCAGATTTTAACACCACATTCAGGAATATCAACGGATATACAGGGTAAAAGAAGAGAGAAAATTAGCCTATGATAAACTGTATACATTGCATATTGATTAATCTATTATAAAACAATGGCACAAGTACATGATTGTTTTGATTCTTGAGCCTTGATTGATTATAGATAACATCAAATATAGTATACTCTGGGGGAGAAAAGATTGGACTATGAGAGGAAATTCTATTTGAAGCTTTGTATAATTATAAGACATAAGGAGGATACAAATCTCATGAAGGGCAGATTTGGGAGAGAAACAGTAACAAAGCTAAAACCATGACTTACTTGGGAAACATCAGTGTAGCACGATAAGGACAAGCCATTTTAAATCAGTCACATGAGCAGGCTTCATGTCATTGGGTAAAAATTCACAGTAACCCTGGAGAAAATTAAGAATGTGTGAATCGATGTATTGTGTGCAAATGGTGATATGATGGTAGCCTGAGTCATATGAACTCCTTGGGAAAAATGGCCAACTTTGTGTAGCAAGTGGACTTTGTACTCCTATTATCTAAAAAGAGCCTCTGCATGTACTCATTGACAAAAGTTGACATCTACCCTGCATATGGAATATCTGTCCCTGTCTCTTAGGCATTGTACCATTAAGGCCAAGAGATTGCCATTATCAATAATTTGATGTCCCCAAAACAGTTTCAGTGGTAACCACATGACAGTACAAGAATACACCTCCTTCATTCTGTTACCAGAGAAGTGCAGGAATCTTCAGTTCTTTGTCTTACTTGGAGAAAGCATTCTGCTTTCAAGTCTTTTCCAGTGGAGAGTAGGCCTTTGTTATGGGGGATGCTCTGAACATATTTCAGAACGGTTCTTTCACTGTCTCTCTGCCAGAAAAGAAAGGATCTTTTTCTTGGCTTTCCAATATGGGAACTCACTTTGGTTTTTGGAGGTAAATTCCAAGAAAGTGGGGCAGGGGTGGGGCCCTAAGTCTAGGTGCTAGGAGTTTCTCTCTCTCAAGCTAGTCCATAATCAGCCTCCAGCAATTTGTCAGAACTGCCGTTTAAGTGTTCCTACCAGTATATGACTCATGCAAGTCCTTTTTCAAAAAAAAAAAAAATTTTTTTTTGAGACTGAGCCTCACTCTGTCGCCCAGGCTAGAGTGTAGTAGTGTGGCCTCGGCTCATCGCAACCTCTGTCTCCTGGGTTCAAGTGATCCTCCTGTCTCAGCTTCCGGAGTAGCTGGGATTGCAGGCACCCACCACCATGCCCGGTTAATTTTTGTAATTTTGTAAACAGGGTTTCAACATGTTGGCCAGGCTGGTCTCGAACTCCTGACCTCAAGTGATCCACCCGCCTCAGCCTCCCAAAGTGCTGGGATTATAGGCGTGAGCTGCTGTGTCCAGCCAAGCTTTGTTTATCTTGTGAGGATTGGAGTAATGATTCTCAAGCTCTTTCCATGTTGGAACTAAAATTGGAAGTTCCTGGTATTCTTTTCTACTTCTGTGGTAATCTCTTTCTTTGGAAATCACTTTCTCTGTCTGCCCAGCTAAGTCTCCATTTTTCAGGTTACTGGTGCACATTATACCTTACAGTGGGAGGGTCAGAAGTACTGTCATGGGCTCCCTCTGCAATGGCGTTTGTCAGTGTTCTCTTCCTCAAGATTAGCTTCTTCTTTCCATTGAAGTGAGAGGTTCTGGTAGTCCTCAGGAATGAAGTAAAGCCTGTTCTGCTCCTACAGTGAGATAGCTGGGCAAAAGCTGCTGTGCAGTGTTCACTATGTGGTAGAGTCCCTGTGTCTTTTGGGATTTTTGTTGCCAACTGTCCTTCCTCTGCTTCTAAACTGGTAAAGCAGTTTCTGCTCTGCTCCCAGCTTTGCTAGAATACTTTTAGTCCCCATATCTTGGTGACCTTTGGTGGAGGAAGGGATTCCAAGTTAGATACCCACAGTTTCTCTATGTGTAGACACACATCCCTATCTCCAGCACTCATCCATGGCAACTGGAGGAAATCCATTTCTATCCATTTTCCTTTGACCCCTGAATCCCAGTCGCCCCTTTATTGCAATGCCCGAGGCTCTGGATCACTACAAGCTGCTGCACTCTCTTAAATTACAGGTAACTCTTTTGGGATATTTATGTCTTTCATTTTCAGAATCTTCAGCCCCCAAGGTCAAGATAGGAAACTGGTTACAAGGAAACAAGGACTTGAAATAGCAAACACAAAAATTAGCCGCCACCACGCCCGGCTAATTTTTTCTATTTTTAATAGAGACTGGGTTTCACCATGTGAGCCAGGATGGTCTTGATCTCCTGACCTTGTGATCCGCCCGCCTTGGCCTCCCTAATTTTTCTCTTTTTGGTAGAGACAGGGTTTCACCATGTTGGCCAGGATGTTTTCAAACTCTTGACCTGGTAATCCTCCTGCCTTGGCCTCCCAAAGTGCTGGGATTTTTTTTTTTTTTTTTTTTTTTTTTTGAGACGGAGTCTTGGTCTGTCGCCCAGGCTGGGGTGCAGTGGCACAATCGCGGCTTACTGCAACCTCCGCCTCCTGGGTTCACGCCATTCTCCTGCCTCAGCCTCCCGAGTAGCTGGGACTATAGGCGCTCGCCACTACGCCTGGCTAATTTTTTGTATTCTTTAGTAGAGACGGGGTTTCACTGTGTTAGCCAGGATGGTCTCGATCTCCTGACCTCGTGATCCGCCCGCCTTGGCCTCCCAAAGTGCTGGGATTACAGGTGTGAGCCACCGTGCCCGGCCGAGTTTTTTCCTTTTTAAAAAACTCATTTCTCTGAGTTCAGTGGAAATGGACATGCAACTATGCTATGTCTGTAATGTCTTTTTGTTATTTTCTTAACAACTGTCTAGTGTGAACCCCGAAAATCTGAGCCAGATCTCAGATAATTTAGAAAGTTTATTTTAGCAAGGTTGAAGACATGTGTCCCTGGCAGCCTCAGAACGTCCTGATGACATGTGCTCAAGGTGATCAGAGCACAACTTGGTTTTATACATTTTAGAGAGACATGAGACATCAATCAGTATATGTGAGATGTGCATTGGTTCCATCTGAAAAGGCAGGACAACTCAAGCAGGGAAGGGCTTCCAGGTCACAGGTTGGTGACAGACAACCTGTTGCTTTCTTTTGAGTTTCTGATTAGCCTCTCCAAAGGAGTCAATCAGATACATATTTATGTCAGTGAGCAGAGGGATGACTTTGAATAGAATGGGAGGCAGGTTTGCCCTAAGCAGTTCCCAGCTTGACTTTTATCTTTGGCCTAGTGATTTTGAAGCTCCAAGATTTATTTTCCTTTCATACTACCAACATGTAATATATTAATGGTAAAAAAAAATCACCACTTTCGGAAACTCTTAGGCCTTCTTCTGGTGCGTCGCTCTCAGCTGATCTGTGCTTCTGGATGGCAGAAATGACCTGGACAGAAAAATGAGCAAGTTTAGTCATTCAAGAATATGCAGATATTTCCATGGGCGTGTACTTAGAGCTCTATGTAAACAGAGGAGGGGCTAACAAGGGTGGGCAACGGTCATATCCTCAAGGCTTGTTTACACAGACAGAGAGCCAGCTGGGAAATTCTCTAGAGACAACAGTGCAGGAGTAAAGTATCTGTCTTCTCAGATCCCTCTGGCTTTACTCACACCATTCTCCCGGGTCCCAAAGCCCTCCCTGAGCAAGGCACAGCAGGGCTGTCTTCTCTGCCAACCTCCACCTGCAGAACTCATTCGGAAGCCGGGCCAGCACAAGCATCAATAGTTGGAAAACATCAATATGTGGAAAATAATTTTACATAGCTTCTAATTTTTTTCTTGTGAAATGTTTCTGCCTTTTGGTGAATGTTACATTTTTATTTTTCAAATAATTTTATTACACAGATTCTAAAGTTTATTAGCATAGAACTGTGCTTTTTTAAAAACATTTTTAAAAATACTTTAATTACCTATAACGAACCACTTTTCATTTGCAATTTTATTGGTTATGCTACCTTTGTCTACTAAAATTTATTTTAATGTGTTCTACTCATTATTATAGTCTCTCAAAGAGCAAGTCTCTCCTGTATGAGAAGACAGAACAACTTGGAGACAGAAAAGGCTGAGATAACTTCCCCAATCTGAAATCCTCCAGTTGCCTCCTCCTGTGAAACCAGTTAGTGGTAGTCTGAGAATGGCTCAGAGAGGGAAGGGGCAGGCTCAGGTCAGAGGAAATGCTGATAGGGCCACTAATGCAACAGAGCTCGGACTTTCAGGCCTCAGCCCTACAGATGTAGCTCCAGCCCATCAACCAGTGAAGAAGACCTTTTGAACCTTTTGTACTCAGCAGTGCAGAGCAGCACATTTACTGAATGAGAAGAAAAATCTGGCTGGGCGTGGTGGCTCACACCTGTAATCCCAGCATTTTGGGAGGCTAAGGCCTGTGGATCACGAGGTCAGGAGTTCAAGACCAGTCTGGCCAAGATAGTGAAACTCTGTCTCTACTAAAAATACAAAAACTAGCTGGGTTTGTTGGCGGGCGCCTGTAATCCCAGCTACTCGGGAGGCTGAGGAAGAGAATTGCTTGAACCCAGGAGGCAGAGGTTGCAGTGAGCCGAGGTCACTGCACTCCAGTCTGGGAGACAGAGAGAGACTCCATCTTAAAAAAAAAAAAAAAAAAAGGAAAAGAAAAAGAAAAACTCTAAGGCCTCTGAGAACACCCAAGGGCCACAGATGCCAACTGTGAAGTGTCATCTGTTAACTTTAGCCTTCCTACAATACATTATAAACAATAAAAATGTACTCATATCCCATATTAAATATTAAAATTCTAAAACTGCATGAGTTTGTTAAAGATGACCACTTGAAATAATGGGCTGTTTAGCAGAAACATTAAATTTATCTCTCTGCTCTAAGGTCCTTTCCTTTCCATAACTTGAAGACAGTAGGAGCTTTGTCATTAAGTCTCCAATATTCTCAAGAATAACTTAAAACACATTTAGGGTTTAAGAATAACCAAAAACTGCCGGGCGCGGTGGCTCACACCTGTAATCCCAGCACTTTGGGAGGTCGAGGCGGGTGGATCACGAGGTCAGGAGATCGAGACCACCCTGGCTAACATGGTGAAACCCCATCTCTACTAAAAAAAAATAGAAAAAATTAGCCAGGGGTGGTGGTGGGCAGCTGTAGTCCCAGCTACTTGGGAGGCTGAGGCAGGAGAATGGCGTGAACCCGGGAGGCGGAGCTTGTAGTGAGCCGAGATGGCACCACTGCACTCCAGCCTGGGCGACAGAGCAAGACGCCCTCTCAAAAAAAAAAAAAAAAAAAAAGAAAAGAAAAAGAAAAATTAGCTGGGCGTGGTGGCACATGCCTGTAATCCCAGCTACTCAGGAGGGGTGGGAGAATCACTTGAACCTGGGAGGCGGAGGTTGCGGTGGGCCGAGATCATGCCATTGCACTCCAGTCTAGGCGACAAGAGCAAAACTCTGTCTCAAAAAAAAAAAAAAAAAAAAACAGAAAAAACTCAAGTGAACAAAATAAATGATGAAAAATTGAATGTCATGCACTCAGAACTGATGGGCTAAGGTAATATACACATCTCAACTCATGCTTTAACAAATCTGTCCAATGCTTTACTATTGTAAATGAAAGAGTATCTGAGAAAACTCTCAATCAATTTAGGAAATTTATTTTGCCAAGGTTAAGGACGCACCCATGACAGCCTCAGGAGGTCCTGACAACATGTACCCAAGGTGATCAGGGCACAACTTGGTTTTATACACTTCAGGGAGACATGAGACATCAGTCAATGTATGTAAGATGCACATTGGTTCAGTCCGCAAAGGTGGGACAACTGAGGCCGGGAGGGGGGTTTCCAGGTAACAGGTAGACAAAAGACAAACAGGTTGCATTAAGCAATAGGGCAAAGGAAGTAACCAGATATTCATTTATCTCACCTGAGCAGAGGGGTGACTTTGAATTTTGTCTGGAGTTTTTTTATCTTAGTAGCTGTCTTTTTTTGGAATAGAATGGGAGCCAGGTTTGCCCTAACCAGTTCCCAACCTGTCTTTTCCCTTTGGCTTAGTGATTTTTGGGTCCCGAGATTTTGTTCCCTTTTACACTATCTAAATGTATTAGTTACCAATATTGAAATAAGGAAAAGAAATCTCAAAGTATTAGGTTGGTACAAAAGTAATCGTGGTTCTTGCTATTATAATACTTTTATTTATTTTATTGATTTTTATTTTTTTATTTTTTGAGATGGAGTCTTGCTCTGTCACCCAGGCTGGAGTGCAGTGATGCAATCTCGGCTCACTGCAACCTCTGCCTCCCAGGTTCAAGCGATTCTCCTGTCTCAGTCTCCCGAGTAGCTGGGATTACAGGCGCCAGCCACCACGCCCGGCTAATTTTTTTTTTTTTTTTTGGTAATTTTAGTAGAGACGGAGTTTCACCGTGTTAGCCAAAGTGGTCTCGAACTCCTGACTTTGTGATCCGCCTGCCTCAACCTCCCAAAATTCTGGGATTACAGGCGTGAGCCACTGCACCTGGCCTTATAATACTTTTAATTTCAAAAGCCGCAATTACTTTTGCACCAACCTAATAATAATTGACTCCCTTAAAAGTAGTCGAAGCATATTCCAAAGGTATTGGATGTGGATACTTTTTATGGGAAAATTGTTAAACTTCCCACAAGTTTATTATTGTCCTGCCTGGGAATTGTCCTTGATCGCCATGCATGAGTCAGATGGAGAGGGCAAAAAGGAAAATTGTACCTTGTCAGGTGGTTTCCAAAGGTGGCACCTTTTGTTATGTAACGTGCTCTACAAGAGGTAGAAGACTAGGATTGTTTTGACGCATACGGCCCAGAAAATGAATCTATCAACTTTTATTCCTCACGAAAACAGAGCATGCTGTTTGTGGAGGCACAATGTGGGGTCATCCTGTGACCAAACGAGTGACAACTCTTGTTCAAGTTTCCTCCTCGTTAGGTTTGATTTCAAGGTTACCTCAGTTTCAAACCAGCCCTTTCTGTCCAGGGCACAAAACTCCTGATTTACTACTTACAACTAGTGGTTCTCAGCCTCAGATTCGCATAAAAATTACCTGGAAGACTTTTCATTTTTAAATAAAGTTACTGATGTATATGTTATGTGCAATAATATGCACCCATTTACCGTGCACAATTTGATGAGTTTTGAAAAAGTTTTACCCCTTTTAAAGATTTAGAACATTTCCAACACTCCCAGAAGTTCCTCAGCTCCTTTGTAGCCAGCTTTTCTCAGCGCCATCTACCTCTCCGCCCCCCATCCTCCATCTCCTAGGGGGTGACGTGGTACTTTGGTAGGTAGCAGGCAAGTAGCATCCCCCTAGTTAACAACCAAATATCTCTTCAGACATTGCCAAATGTGCCCTCTAGTGCAAATCCTCCATTCTGCCTTCGAGAATCACTGGATTAAGAGCATTACCTTCTGTCCAGAGGCTCTAAAGGACTGCACAGTTCATTTCACCTGGACGCTCCTTCCACTTTTCTCCTCCTGACAGCCCCCAAAATTTCACTTTCATTTCTCAGGCAGTTCCTCCTCAGGAGGGAGGGACTTCTTCACACAGAGGAACCTCATTTGTTGAATGAATCCTGACCACACCCACCCTGGCTTTTCTTCACCTCTTCAACCAGGAGCCGAGATTTCTGTTGGTCTGAAGGTGTGTGGGGAGGTTTGTTGGGGGGTAGAAGGTATGAGATTCAAGGAGAAAAGTTCTCAATGAAGTTAGGATAATTTGATTTATGGCCCCAAGGCTGCCCTGCTCTGTCGGGAGCAAAGGCTGGCTTGCAGGCTTCCTGCTTTGAGTGCGCACTGATAGCAGCCTAGAGTCTGGGGAGGGACAGCCTTGAAAGCAGTGTTAAAGAGGCAGAAGGCCGCCTTTGTTTTCTGGAGTGTCTTTTTTTTCTCCAGGCTGAATCCAGTTCCATTGCCTTCCTATTGTATAATTTTGATTTTCTACCTTGCAAAGGAAACTGAATTCTCTCTCTCTCTCTTTCTCTCTCTCTCTCTTAAAGAGATGAACAGAAGATCTCTTATTTTCCACGCCCCTCCCTCCTCAAAAGAGAAGTTGGTGAGAGGAGGTCTCTGTTTTTCAAGTGTGTGCAGGGCTTAGCTCCTAGTATGCAGCATCAGATAGAATGGAGCCATGGGGGCATGGCCAGGGGGAATATTGAAGCGGGTTCTTTCGCTGCCCTCCTGGCAACCACTAAGCGGCTTTCTGAGGCCATCCTCACGTATTCTTAGTCCTTGGCCTGCCTGACTATAGCAGGTGGAGTGATCTGACTGCTGCACGCTGCTGTGTTCCCTCTTATCCTGTGTCTTTCTGCAGGTCATCTCAGGGCTCTCCTTGCACATCCCTGAACATACTGTTTACTTTTACTTCAGTAACCCATGTGCCACCAGCGTCTTCGCCTGTCTCAGAACTCGTTCCTCATCATTCTTCCTCTTAGACACACCTTTGCATTGATTTATAACCTCAATTTCTTATTGCTTTTCTTTGCTCACAACTACTTAACAGAAGTTGTTTATTGTGGGCTCAGAAGGAGCCCACAGATTTAATCTTCTTGTTAAGAATTTGACATACAGTATGTCCTATCTTAAGCTCACTTGCGAGCAATTTGCACCTTGATTGATATGTTACAGATATTCCGACACATGCCATTCTGGCCTCTGCTCTCACCCCTCAGAGTTCACTGAAACTGCCATCCTCCTGGGGAGAATCCATGTCTGCCTACATACTGACTGTCTCCCAGAGGCGTCTAGCCAGGCACGAGGCCCAATATATGGGATAATATTGATGATAAAGCAGGCTGCTGATGTAAAAATGTGCAATTAGCATCCATTCAGCATTCAGAAAATATGAAATATACGTGGAAGCCTACATTCTAATTAGACAGCAATCATAGACCATATCAATGAATGATAGAGTACACAAGAAGATAACTAATACTATGGAGTAACATCTTTAAGAAGTTAAATTAGGATAAGGACTCTGTAAAGACCTCATAAAGGCCTTGCAACTTTAAATAGTTTTTATGAAAGTTTTAAATAGTTTTCATTGTAAGAAGAACACTTTTGAATAGAATCTTAAGAATGTGAGGAAATTAAAGCCTTTAATGGCTTTTCCCTGCACTTAAAAGGAGAACAGTGTGGATACGGAAGGTTGAGATGGGAGTGTGCAGGGAGAGGAATAAAAGATGAGCTCTGGCCAGAAGTGGTGGCTCATGCTTGTAATCCCAGCACTTTGGGAGGACAAGGAGGGAGGATCACCAGAGATCAGGAGTTCAAGACCAGCCTGGCCAACGTGGTGAAACCCTTTCTCTACTAAAAAAATGCAAAAATTAGCTGGGCATGGTGGTGGATGTCTGTAGTCCCAGCTACTTGGGAGGCTAAGGCAGGAGAATCGCTTGAAGCCGGGAGGTGGAGGTTGCCAAGATCTTGCCATTGCGCTCCAGTCTTCCAGCCTGGGGGACAAGAGTAAGACTGTCTCAAAAAAAAAAAAAAAAAAAGAAAAGGGTGAGCTCTGAGGATTGAGGCAATGGGAAGGGATGTGTGATGCGGACCTAACTGGACCATTGTGAAGTCTGGCCTCACTCTGGATGGCATGGGTGTGAACAGAAGAGTGACATGATTGACATCTGCTTTAAGGTGATCACTCTATCTACTGATGTAAGAACAAAGATGAGAGCAGAGTGAAGAAGGGCAATCATGGCTGGGCACAGTAGCTCATGCCTATAATCCTAGCACTGTGGGAGGCCAAGGCAGGTGGATCACTTGAGGTGGATCATGAGTTTGAGACCACCCTGGCCAAGATGGTGAAACTCTGTCTCTACTAAAAATACAAAAATTAGCCAGCCGTGGTAGCAGGCACCTGTAATCCCAGCTACGTGGGAGGCTGAGGCAAGAGAATCACTTGAACCCGGCAGGCAGAGGTTGCAGTGAGCCGAGATCACGCCACCACACTACAACCTGGCTAACAACAGCGAAACTCTGTCTCAAAAAAAAAAAGGAAGGGCAATGATAGTATCAGCAAGACTAGTTGAAGAACAATTTCCCGAATTCAGGTGGTTTCTACCGGAGTGGTGGCAGTTGAGGTGGTTGGAACTAATTTGAAAAAAAAAAAAAACTCTTTCAGCATTTTCCCACGAAGTAACAGACAGAAAAAGACTAGATTAGGGGTTGCTTAATGAAAATGATTCTATGTTAAAAAAAAAAAAAAAAAAAAAACTTTTGGGAAATATATTGACCAGAACACTACAGCTCTTGGGGAGAGAGTCACTAATGTGGTATAGATTGAGCCCTGGACTCTAAGGAGTAGCTGAAGCAAGAACTCAGTACATAGAGGAATGGGGAGGAGATGTTACGATGTTTCTGAGCTCTCCAGGCCTCTGGATGTCAAAACAGGCTCTACTTTCCTTATTGGCAGTTTCTGACCAAGGAACCAGAAGAAGTGTCTAGGATATTGTCTAGAAACTTCAAAAGACATCCTCCCCTAAAAGTCACTCTTAGACACACTCTAATTTTACTATCTACCTGCAAAGAGACTTAAAGTTTGCATTATCATATCCAGATGTTAGGAGTCCAGATGTTAGGAGAAGACTCAAAAGAAGGGTACAATCACCTGGCAGCTATGGTAACCAGTTAACCTGGGAGTTCTGTCAGGCCCATGGCACTCATGTTCCCTTCTCTACCTCCCTGACTGCTGCTGGGCTTGAGCCACATTGGGAAGTGGTGGGGTCATTTCTCACACGTGGGACCCTGGTCCTCTGCACTTTTCTCATTCTTTTGTCATTATGGTGGCAGCAGCTTTGGCATCAACATGCAGCCTCACTGTGAACATGAAGTCACAGCCCGTGGCAGAATGCATGTTCTACTGCTTCCTCTCCTGGAGTCCCCCAGTATTTCTAACTATTAGTTGGATACTGATTGGAATAAAAGATAACAAAGAACCCCACATCTGTGGTTGGCTCATAGCTTTAGCTATAAACAGGGGTGAATATTATCATATCATGTAAACTCCTGGTCTTACTAGTCATCAGATCCTGGTCTGACCAATGGTCATTGCAGCCAGGGGCTACGAGTATATCTCTTTTGTATGATTTTTAGTATCTGTACCATTGGCTGGATGACATTCACCAGCCTACTTTCAGCCTTTTTTCCTCCTTAAGGTCTTTTGATGGATGGTTAGAGGAATAGACAGGTCTCGAGGCCTAGATTTATCTCCATACAGCTTTTTATCGTACCCCAACCTTTTGCCAAGCGTAGGAAAGATTCCTAGGTTGTCACACATCACAGATCTTTCTTTCACTATCAAACCTGTTCAATTATATTAGTTTTCTAGCACTGTTGTAACCAATTATCACAAACTAGATGACTTAAAACAATAGGAATCTGTATCACAGCTCAGGAGTCAGAAGTCCAAAAGCAAGATGGTGGCAAACTTGATTTTTTTCAGAAGGCTCTATGTGAAAATGGGTTCTATTCCTCTCCCCTAGCTTCTGGTGGTTTCTAGCAAACCTTGGCATTCTTTGGCTTATATCTGTGCTACTTCCGTCTCTGTCTCTATTGTCACATGGCTTTCTTTCCCGTGTGTTTGTATGTCCTCTCCTCTTATAAAAACACAGGTCAAGGCCGGGTGCAGTGGCTCATGCCTGTAATCCCAGCACTTTGGGAGGCTGAGGCAGGTGGATCACCTGAGGTCAGGAGATCGAGACCAGCCTGGCCAACATGGTGAAACCCCATCTCTACTAAAAATATAAAAATTAGCTGGGCGTGGTGGCATATGCCTGTAATCCCAGCTACTCAGGAGACTGAGGCAGGAGAATCGCTTGAACCTGGGAGGCGGGGGTTGCAGTGAGCTGAAATCGCGCCATTGTACTCCAGCCTGGGCGACAGAGCGAAACTCCATCTCAAAAAAAGAAAAAAAACACAGATCTTTAAATTTAGGGCTTGTCTTTATCCAGTATGACCTCATCTTAACTTGATTACACCTGCAAAGATGTAGTTTTCAAATAAGGTCATATTCATACAAGCAAATATATTTTTGTGAAGGGTATAATTCTATCTACTAGAACAAGTATCAAAATGTTACTTACTGCCTACTGAGAGCCACCCTTTTCCCCTTTGCCTCACAGTTTCTTGTCTAAACTGACCTCAGGTTCTGAGAATTGGCATTGTATCATCATGCCACTACTCTGTGGTGCACCCTCTGGCTGACCACAAGCAATAATTGCAGGTTTCTTTTGCCATTTGCACTCATGCAGCTTAACTCCACAGGGGGAATACAGGACAGGAGATATAGCATGCAGGCAGGGCTGCTTCAGGTAAGCTCTCAGTGAGGATTTCTTTTTTTTTTTTTTTTTAGACAGAGTCTCGCTCTGTTGCCCAGGCTGGAGTGCAGTGGCACCATCTCGGCTCACTGCAAGCTCTGCCTCCCCTGTTCACGCCATTCTCCTGCCTCAGCCTCCCGAGTAGCTGGGACTACAGGTGCCCACCACCATGCCTGGCTAATTTTTGTATTTTTAGTAGAGACGGGGTTTCACCTTGTTAGCCAGGATGGTCTCGATCTCCTGACCTCG